CAAGTGTAATGCCAATTGACATCTGACACCCTGAGCTTGTTCCCTGCCCTTCTCTGTATCCTTTCCTTAAACATGCCTCTTTACTCTTATTCTCAATCCTCTGTAATCCCTTGCATGTTAGTGGCATTCATGCCTTGCTTAGGGTGAATTGCCTTAAAAAAAAAAAAGAAAATGTATTTATTTAAAGTTGGGAATTATTTCAAAGCAGTTTATTTTTTCATTAACTCATAATTAGTGATATGCATGTATGCTGAAAAAAAATGTAGCCCAGATATGGCAGCACTACTTCACTCTCGGTGTGATATGACACTTGTAAAGACAATGCATGGAAGATAGAGTTAGGTTCTTTGTGGAATGATTCAGTAAACTGACCATTCTTCCAGCATCTTTTGAGATGGTATGAATATGGTTTTCCTTTTAGGTTGGGCTTTAAACCCAGTAATCATTTAAGGCAAGAGCCTGTTTGTGGGTATCACCACTCATCAGGATTGGTGTAGGCTGAAGGTCTGCTTGGTGGTAGTAAAATATTACTCACTTTGTTTTGCCAGTATGGAATGATACCAGCCAGTTTTCCTCTCATTGAACTGTGAGAATTAGGTTAGAAGAGAGATCAACTGCCAGGCATTGGTCATCCAAAAACTTGGAGGTGCACCCATACATCATGGTGTCATCTTTTTCCCCTGGTGCCATGATTACACCATAGTCATATTTTTTCCCAGGTGCCCTGACTACATCGTTTTAATTATGCTGCTAGATTGGCAGCTAGGTCTCACCATTTTACTATTGAAATAGCTAGATGCAACTGTCACTTCTGTTCCAACAGTTTCTTTTTTCACACTTCCCACCTGTGGAACTCTCTTACAATTTCTTACTTCCCTGATAACTACTTCTTTTATATGCTGTGTCCCTTCAGGACATAGACAATCATGACTCTCCACACCTTCCTGTCCCTTGTAGTTCCTAATAAGTTGTCTTTTTGTTATTTCCCCTAAACCGTGTTCTACCAATCATTTACTCAAGCTCATCAAGTATATTACATGCTGCCTTCCTGTGTCCCTTTTTCCCCTCAATCTGTTCTTGTGGTAAGACAACCCAGTTACCTCCCTTGTCTTATGATGTGTATAAATAATCACACCATCTTAGCCAAAATGACAAGATTCTTCAGTTACAATCAATAAAGGTACATTAAGCCAAACTAGACTCAGTTTTCATTACAATTTATTGAATGTAATTATTGAAAAGTGCCTTAAACCAGAATCTCAACTTGGACTCTGCAGAGCTATCTTCTACTGATGCCTGGCAATACTGGAAATGATTATTCGAAGGATTCTTGCTTGCACTGGAAAATAATTCATCCACTCCTTTGTTTGATGTATATTATATATTTTGTGAAGAGGCAAAACATTACTAATATGGATAGACTTAACCTGATAATGCACCATGTTTCCATATCAGTATATACCAATATTTCTCACTGCAAAACTTACCAGAGTGCCACGGACGTTTTTGGGTAGAATTTTTGTGAAGAGGCGAAACATATTTGTCTAGCATGTATTAACAATTACCCACCAATCCCCTGAAGAGGGGTTAGAACAGTATCTTCAACACTTTTACATGCTGCTTTCCCCTGTCTCTCTTTCCCTCAATCTGTTCTTGTGGTAAGACAACTCAATTACTTCCCCTGTCCAACATGTATTATGTATTTTGTGAAGAGGCGAAACATTACTGATATGGATAGACTTAACCTGCTAATGCACCATGTTTCCATATCGGTATTTACCAATATTTCTTACTGCAAAACTTACCAGAGTGCCATGGACATTTTAGATGGAATTTTTGTGAAGAGGTAAAACATAATATATGTCTAGCATGTATTAACAACTACCCACCAATCCCCTGAAGAGGGGTTAGAACAGTATCTTCAGCACTTAAAAATCTTATGTCAAGACTGTGACTTTCAAGTGACGACAGCAGATCAAGCAAAGGATGAATTTATCAGAAACTCCTTTATAAATGGATTAGAATCTAACTCTGTCAAAGATTGCTGGAAAATAAACAGCTAGATTTAGCTTCTGCTCGCAAGCAGGCACTTACCTTGGAGATGACAGAAAAGCAATCTTGTTCATACCTATAAACAAGTGTTGCAGAGGCTGCACTAAGTACGCACACTCTTACTAGTCCACCAGTTCAAATGTCCCAAATAGGCAAAAAAAGACAGTCTTCTACAACAGACTTCATTTCTGCCCTTCCTCCTCCACCAGTTTAAAATCCCTCTCTCTGGAAGACACTGCTTAAACTGCTAGTGCTGCAGCCAGATGAAAATGTTATTTTTGTGGTCTTAAACTACACCCCTGGTTGTGTTGTCCATCCAGGGGAAACTAAATGTCACAAGTGCAGGAAAAAGAAACATTTCTCTAAGGTTTGTTAATCAAGTTTTTTTTTTCACCTGGTTCAAATGCTACTATTGTGACTAGTATTGTATCAACTGCAAACCCTAAATGTTTTTCAAAGGCTATATTAACGGTAAAAATAAACAGGGTGGAAATGAATGCTTTAGTCAACACAGGAAGCTCAGAGAATTTTATTAGCACTGATATTGGAAAAAGAAACAGATTTAAAATTGTACATTGTAATAGTCAGGTAACTATGGCAAATGCTTCACTATCTTTGCAGGTTAGAGGATATATTTTGTCCATCCCAGAGTTGAATCAAACTAACTACACTAACACCAAATTTTTCATGATGCCAAATCTGTGCTGTGATGTCATACTGGGCCATGATTTCCTCAAACAGCATTCTAATATTAATCTCCCTTTTGGGGGACTTAACTGGCATTGAACATCTGTGGCTTGGCAACTATAAATGTACAATACCCCTCTTTTTTCAAAAACTTAACCAAAAACTGTAAATCAGTGGCCACGAAATCTCAGAAATATCCTCCTGAAGACAAAACATTTATTCAAGCAGAAATAACAAGAATGTTAAGAGAAGGAATAATCAAAGAAAGCAGATCACTATGGAGGGCACAAGTATTAATAAAGTTGTCTGATAATAATGAAAAAAAGGGTAGTCATAGGCTACTCCTAAACTATAAATAGGTACATCTTCCTGGATGTGTACCCTATACACCCTATTTATGAGATGATAAGTGAGTTCACCAAATACAAAATATTTAACACATTAGACCTCAGGAGTGCTTACCACCAAGTAGCTGTAGACCCTAAAGATAAGCCTTATATAGCTTTTGAAGCCTACGGACAACTTTATCAGTTCTGATGGATTTTGTTTGGGGTCACTAACGGGGTTTCCAGCCTTTAGAGAGTCCTCAATAAAATAATTCTTGAATTAAAATTACTTACATAAATAATGTGACAGGCCAACCACAATCACAACCTAAAACAGTTTTTGGCAGCTGTCAAGAAATATCTTACACTCAACCATGACAATAGTTCTTATGGGTTGACAACCATCAGACTACTTAGATATATTATGGGTAAAGGAATCATGAAGGCAGACTCTGAACCTCTAAAATCACTGCTAAAACTACCCATTCCCAACACCATAGCTGCCTTGTAATGAACGTATGTTCTCATTATTCTCAATAGATACCCTCCCTTTCTGAAAAAATACACCCACTAACAGAAATTACCAAATTTCCTTTCTCTTCTGCTGTTAAAGCCTTTGAGGATTTAAAAAGAGATATTGCCAACTCAGCCATCACTTTGGTGAATCCTGATATTCCCCTAAAAATAAAGTCTAACACTTCCAACCATGCCATAGCTACCATGTTAAAGCAATCTGGGTACTCTGTAGCATTCTTCTCCAGAACATTGTCAAAATCTGAGTGCAGACATTTAGCGGTTGAAAAGGAGGCTTATACCACTAGGCAGTAAAAAAAATGGTGACATTTCTTAATTGGTCACTGCTTTTAAATTAACCACTGATCAAAAGTCAGTCTCTTTTATGTTTAATCCCAAGACGTCAAACAAAATAAGAAAGGAAAAAGATAGTGAGATGGAGAGTAGAGCTTTCCTGTTCTTCGTTTGACATTTTCTGTCAAGAAAGGAAAATGCAATGGCGGACACACTGTCAAGAGTGTGTAATATCAATAAAGACACATTAAGCTGACCCAGATTCTGATTTTTCATTACACTCCTGTGAGTACCAGGTTTTCCAAGCCCTCCTTTTTCATTACATGCTCCCAATATAAAGTATAATTTTCCTTTTTGATTCCATTTTCTCTAAAACCTTGTTATTGCTCATGTTTAGTTTATAGTATCCTCAACATCTTTTTGTAGAGCCACATTTCAGTTGCTTCAAATCTTTTCTTCATCTTTGAGGAGATTGACCAGCATTTGCTGCCATACAGGAGGACAAATTCGCATAACAGTTCAATACTTTTTTCTTTGTTTCTAACAAAATTTTTCTGTCTGTTAATACTCTGCTTAACTTTTGGAATGCATCTTTATAACTACAATCTTCAAAGATTTTAAATGCAACATCAATCACCATCTTCTTGAATCCTATTCCTTTTTTTCCTTTCCTCACTGCTCCCAATTTTCATTCTTTTTATTCTCTTTCATTTTCACTCCCTGTCACCCTCACCATTCTAATGGTATTATTGCCTTACTTGAGGTGACATGATTTAAAAAAAAATGATCTGAGAATATTCTTATGTGGTTCCTTAATATGAAGCAGAAAGTGGGTAGGACCAAAGAGAGAATGTTGGGGATTGCCAACATTGATCTCATGTGACTCAGAGGATTGGCCATTAATGACAACCTTCATAGACCTACCTGACAGAAAAGGACTTGATAACAGAGGATTCTCCCAGAGACTCACTAGCTGGCAAGCTTGTGCAGCAATATCTTGTGCCACACCTTGTCAAAGGCTTTTGAGATGTCTAAAGAAAAAAGGGAAATAAGTATGAAGAGAAAGTTTTGTGCGAATTGAGTGCAAAAAAAAAGAAGAAAAACCCAAAAAATTGTTTTTTCTTTCAGATTTTCCGTGAGACAAAAGAGAGTGAAATTCAAAATTTATTAAGAGCCAAAAGAGATTTGGAAAGCAAACTTCCCAAACTGAACCAAGAATTCATGTCTGATTCGTATGATGATAATGATTCTCCAGAATCTGGTTTGGACTCTGTTGGTAAATACATTTCTTTTTTTTTTTTTAATGCTGTTGTCTACTGAATGCAAGCTCCAAGAGCCACTTCAGGTAGAGGGTTACTGAATGTGGTTGTTTTTCAAATAAAAGAATTGTAGCTGATGAAGATATGTAGGATAATTTACTCTGAAGTATAATTGGTGATTGAAATAGTTGAATATTTCTCATTAGTGTCTGTGGTTGGTGTTTTAGTCCAGATAAAAGGATTTTGTATGGTGATTTTCAAAGCAGGCCCTTCTCACAAAGAAACTTGACAACTCTTTTGTTTGGGGCTATATTTATCTCTAAACAAGTTGCATTGAATTTAACAAACTAGTTTGGTATGTTTAACTTTTTATTGTATTTTTTCAATTTTTGAATATCCATATTAAAACTGTACAAAGTTCATGATTTTGTTTTATATTTGTTTGAGTACTTTTGACCATCAGAATGTTGCTAACAACAGGTTGAGAATTTGGTAGCTCCAACCAAGATATGGCAGCAAAATCCCAGTTTGGTTTTAATCTGACTGATAAAGCATGCCAGGAGGAGTCAGGCTCTTCCTGAAGCAATAGAATGAACCAAATATTTTTCCAGCTTTTTAAGCAATGGATTGCATAAATGAGTTCTACTTGAGTGAACTTTAGACTGTAGATGTTCAATTCATGGAGCCTCATTGCCTTCAATTGTTTGAAATATTACTAGCTGTTTGAGTCGAACTCGATCCTTACATATGGAATACAAAGGAAATGAGGGTGATTTGACCCTATGGATATAGCATGGCAGATCTTAGATGTCAAGGTCTGAACTGGTAGAACTAAAGAATGGAGCTCATTTGAACATTTTCCATGGAAATAGTGATAAAGAAGCAATTTTTTTTTTTTTTATTCATTACATCCCAAGTAAGGCAATAATATCACTAAGATGCTAAGGTTTGCTAAGAGTGAAATAGAATGAGAAGACTTTAGTAAGGAGAAATGATAATAAAAGAACAGGGTTCCAGAAGATAGAAGATGGTGATTGATGTTGCATTTACATTTTTGAAGATTGTAGGTGGCAGGGAAGTAAGAAATTGGAAGAGATTTCCACAGGTAAGATGTGCGAGAAAAGAAACTATCAGAATAGAACTTAAGGTTATATCTGGCTATTTCAACAGTAAAACAATGAGACCAAGTTGTCAATCTAGCAGTATGCTTAAATTCATGGAGTTGAAACACTAAAGAAAACTTATTAGAACAATTGCCATGAAAATATTTATATAAAAGTAAGAAATAAGCTATGTCATGGTGGTGGGAAAGTGACTGAAGTTGAGATGCCAGATCAGGACTTATAACATTACAGACCATTCTTTGGATTTTGTTGAGAATCTTGAAGTTAGTATTGATGTAATGTAAAATCCAATTCAATTTCAGGTAGTGCATACCCTGGAGATTGGTGGACAGCCCTGGAAAGTGAACCGTCCCTTGGGAGTACATTTCAGCTCCACCCTACCTTACGAGGGCCAGAATTGGCCAATTGTCTCATGGAGCTGGAAGGGCCATTTACTAATGTCAATAAAGGTAGGATGCTTTTTTTTTCTTTACTATATATTGAAAATCAGGGAGAATGCAGGCATATCTGATAGAATAGGGCTATTATATGTATAATGTAAATGCATTACTAATGATTTGACTATAGGAATGCATTGAAAATGATGAAGAAAGGGATTGTCAGTGGTCAGGAATGAATGCAAATATTACTGATAGAATATGGCTATTATATGTATAATGTAAATGCATTACTTATGATTTGACTATAGGAATGCATTAAAAATGAGGAAGAAAGGGATTGTCAGTGGTCAGGAATGAATACAAGCATTACTGATTTCTATCTAGGGCTATTGAATGTATAATGTAAATGCATTGCTAATTATTTTAATATAGGAATGCATTGAAAATCAGGAAGAAAGAAATTGTCAATGGTCCGGAATGAATGCAAGCATTACTGATAGAATAGGGCTATTATATGTATAATGGAAATGCATTGCTAATGATTTTACTATAGGAATGCATTGAAAGTGAGGAAGAAATGGATTGTCACTGGTCAGGTATGAATGCAATCATTACTGATAGAATAGGGCTATTATATGTATAATGTAAATGCAATATTTACTGCATATACTTGGATATATTTATGGTCAGTTTTATTTATGCAAAAATTAGAGGAGTTACACTATACACAGGTAAATATTTGAAGAGATTAAAAATCATGTATTTTTGGTGGTCAGTTGCACTCTACACAGGTAAATTTATTTCTGGTAGGGGGTTAAAATTTATACAAAAATGTTCAGACGTTGCACTATACATGGTGGTCAAAATCTCTTGTCACCCCTTACCAAAAAGTAATGAGAACAAGTAATACAGTAATACAAAGCACATATACTAGATTCAGTTTATTCACTTTGATTGATGCTGTCACACATTGAGTAGGTCTGTATGAACACTATCATTTTCATTATATTATGTAGGGGTGTCAAGAATTTTGGACCGCCCTGTACATCAAATCAGATTATACGCAAGATTACGAGGTGTGTCAGAAAAGAAACAACTGAAGTCACAAAAATTTATGTTAAACCCAAATTACAAGTTTTCCCTTTCAAAATTATCCCCCTCAAGTCTAACACACTTTACCATCATTCTCTGTCACATTTCAATGCACTCCTAGAAGGATTCTTGACCGCTCTGTCATCATGACCCTCTTGGTGGTACTCATGTCTGGAAAACAGGTCTTATTACTGAAGCAACTTCCCTACTCACCTGACCTGTTCTGTTGATTTTTTTTTCCTTTTCCTCAAGCTGAATGGGGTTATCAAGAGGGCCTGTTTTCTAGATGTGGAAGCTGTCAAGAGGGATGTAATGATGGAGCTGCAGAGAATCCTCTCCCCCCCGGAGAATCCTTCTAAGTGTGCATTGAAGCATAGTGGAGAAGGATAGGAACGTGCCTTAAACTTGAGGGAGGGATAATTTCAAACGGGAAAACCTGTAGTTTGGATTTGACAAGTTTTTTGTGACATAAGTCCTGTTTCTTTTCTGACACACCTTGAACACTGTATATCTTTCTGAAATCAGTTCTTTCCTGATTTAGACACAGTATGTCAATAAATTCCTTTATCAGCTACATCTGTACGTCCATTTTGTTTTTATTATATTGAATATTAAAAAGATTTTAATTTTCTTTTTATTTATAGAAGATTGGAGTTTAGCTCTTGGGAAACTAACACAGATTGGACCAAGTGTTCCTGAGCATATAATTGCTAATGTTGTGCGTATTTTTGTGTCTGTAACCAATGACACTCAAGGTGAATTTGAAATTTTACAAAAGGTATGTTACTATCATCATTATATTATAATTCTGCTTCTTGTCTTTAGTTAGCATATAAGTTATGCCCTTCTATACCTCATAAATATTGGAGTATTCTGATTTTATTGTGAGGAAAGATGGAAAGGACATATCAGAGACTCTCTTTGATTTCAGTGGGAAAAAGAAAGAAGGAAGGAAAGCAATAGCATTCTCATGATTTTAACATTTGCTTCAATGAAATGGAAAAATTTGTTACTTTTTAATCTTTTCATTTGTACCCTTTTACTTCTGTAAATAATGACCTGTATTCATACTTATACCCTGGCCTTCTTCAGGTGGTATTTGTTGGAATTTCAAACTGAACCCTTTATTTAGTCCATGTGGGTAGATTGTTCTAATTCCACACCCCATGTCTTTGGATATCTCAGTTTTTAGTTAATTCCCCTTGATAACTCTGCAAATTTTTTTTTATGTTCCTTCTGCTGATATATCCAAGAACATGGCATGTGGAATTAATATAAAGGACAATAACTCAAAATACAATTGAGTTACTTCCCTTGTCCGCTAGGGACATTTCAAAATTCATCATGGTGATAAGCTGACATACATGTGAAATTCATGGTTTAAATCCAAACAAATCCTTGCTGTTCTCAGGCAGTAAATAAATAGAAGTTATTGTGTTAAAACACACTTGTCTTCTATTTTCATTCATTTTTGTTCATGCCAATAACCTGAGATATAACAGTGTAAGTACTCAGAGGAAATATAGACTAAAATAGGGCAGTCTAGTGATAAAGCTTCAGAAAGGTTTCTTTATGTTGTGTGGAGAAGATTGTTTGTATTAAATTTAGTAAGTAGTGGGCTTTCTTTTGAACATAGCTGCAGTGACTGGAAGGCAGTAAAAATTGATAAAAAAACAAACAGCTTTTGATATACTTGGAGTTACTTTATTTATTTTTTTTTAATTTTATGTACAAATGAACAGCTTCTGCTTATTTCTTCTGATTTTGCATATTTTTTCTGCAGGAATATGTGCCAAAGCTTTCAGCTTTATGCCAAGGTGAAGGAAGAACTCTTATGATGGTTAATATGCACATTGATGATGATGTCAGCCTCTCAGCGATGGTAAGATTTCTGTTATCACATGTTTTCTTTAACCTCTTTGCTACCGTATGATGATTCAGGAATAGGAGGCTCACCCTGGCAAGGAGGTTCCCAACTAGCATCCAGTTAGCAGACAAAAATAAAGTGGGTTGTAATTGAATACATGTCCCAGAGATTCACAGTGTACTGGTACTGATGGCTATTTATTGAGCACATTATCCACACCGGAATCAGCATCCAATCAGGACTCGCAAAATAGGCTTGCCTGGCTATCAGAATGAAATCTCTCAGGCTGCCATATAAACCACCTACCAACTTGACGAGAGGTTTGGCTTAGGCAGTCAGCCTTAACTTTCATTACAGTTGAGTACTGTCTATTGCTATTACTAAATTCTACACTTGATCAGTAATATTCATCTTCTGTTACAGTCAAGTATTATTGTTTGCCACTACCAAACTCTATGCCATAGATAGGGTAACTCATTTTAGCAAGTCCTCTAGAGCCTTTTTTCCACAGATGCAACATTGTAAGCCTATGGCTACTCTAAAAGTTACCTGAATCAACAAGCATCTGATGAAGGCCAGAGAGCACAATGGTTGAAACATTGTAATAATAACAAAAAAATTCAGGACAGTAGTTTGTGTGTAAATAATGATAACTCTTCTGTGGTGAAAAGAAATTATTGAATCTGTTTTGGGACAAAATTTCAGATTGGGCGTTTCTTCCCTCTACACTTTCTTAGTATTGTTGTCAGTAAGGATTTCCTTTGGGGGCCCTTGTTCATAAAACACTTGAAGAGTCCTGCCGCGGTAATGGTCATCAGACTGCGAATCTGGTGTGTCCACAATCTATAAGCGTGAGGAAATGCTGGCTGCCATAATGTGTTATATCCATACTCAGCCTGCTCCAAGTGCTGCTTATCCCCCCCCTTCCCAACTTCCTTTTTTGCCATTTGACTGGTGCAGGGTCTATTGACTGGCATATTTGGCACCCTTTGATTACAGCCCTGATGGCACTCATGGACACTGAAGGATTGGTCAATCGTACGAAATAGCATGCCCTTCTTACACCGGGATGCCTACTGCAATGGTGTATTTTTGTTATCTGCTACATCTTCATTCCAGAAATTCAGACAGAAATTATTGCTACTCTATCACTATTTCCATGGCAAATGTTCAGATGAGCGCTCCATTCCTTACTATCACCAGTTCAGACCTTTACCTATAAAACCCTTGCTACTCTATCGCTATTTCCATGGCAAATGTTCAGATGAGCTCCATTATGTAGTTCCACCAGTTCGCAACTAAAGCTCACTATGCTGCATCCATGGAGTTGAATAAGAAACATTTCCTCTGTATTCCATTTTTAAGGAGGAAGATTTATTCAGACAGCCTTTTCCTAAGAATTGCTGCTTTATGGAACAAAATCCTATGCAAATCCTTCCCTGAACCAATTCAAGTCAAAGGTCAATCACTATCTATCCTCCTTATCCTCACTTAATCTACCTATTATTACATTCATATCACACACTCTACCATGAGTGGCTCTTGAGCTTTGTATTGTGTGAACTTCAATATAAAAAAAAATTAAAAATTTCCATTACGCAGATGAGTTAATGTCTTACAATATTATGTTTATTCTTCCACAAGATGGGCAAACAAATGAAATTTGTATATTTGTTCTGTTGACAATTTTGTGCATGTTGTGGAGATTTATTCTTGAAGGTATTTCATGCTTGTTTATTTTATTAACATGTTTTATACACTTTTATACAGGGTGCGATGGATAAATTGTCGCCTAAATTACACCTGTCAGGTATGATGATAAGCTACATCTGAGTCCTGAGTATGATGATAAACTACATCCAGCAGCAAGGCCTCTGATCAAGAGGTTTTGAGGAGCGTGGAACCACCTTTTAATTGCTGGTGTTCACAGGTCAACCCAGACCTGGGGTGGTAGCACTTGTTAGGGTCCCAGTTATAAGCAAATAGTTAATCCCCAAACTAGGATCAAAAAAGTTTGAAAAAAAAAAAAATTACCACCAATAAAAATCTTGTTGACATTAAATAACCCATTGAGGTTGATATGTTGTAAAACAAACCAAACTAAATTACACAAAATGAAAATAACACTGATCTCCTGCAACTCTTCTGGATGGTCTCCTTTATTTAAAATTGGTGAATGCTGCCATAATCCTTCTGGATGATCTTCTTGTTTTCAGTTCATCTTCATCTTGGTGTTACAAGGAGTTTTGTTGGTCTCTTCATTCAACTGCACCCCACACATAATAATCAAGGGGTTGCAGTCTGGGGAGTTAGGTGGCCAGATGTAAGGGGTGATGTGGTCACAGAAATTGTCTGACAGCCATGACTGGGTTCTCCTGCTTGTGTGGCATGGTGCAGAGTCCTGTTGCCAGACATAGGGTCTTCCAGCAGCCACCCTCTTGACCCAGGGCAGCACTACCTCCTCAAGGCACTTGATGTAGGCCTCCATGTTGAGTCTGAGGCCTGTGGGAAGAATTTATGGAGTTCATTTCTTATCAGAATCATCAGAGTGATCAAGCTGCCAAACCTTTGTAATCACCATTAGACTCATCCAACTCTTTCTAAATCTTTTGCCCTGTCCTCAGATTGACACCCAAACACTGAAGTGTTTATATTGGAGCTTCCAGCATGAATGGAAAGCAGTACAGCAAGCCATTTCCAAATTTCTGGTGGAATGAATTGCATCATGATGTTCTTGTTTTTTACAAACAGTGCCCAACTGACCCTACTATACTGTGCAGTTGACAAAATCAAAAAACAAACAACTCATGCACAAAAAAAAAAAAAAAAATTCCATTTATAAATATAATATAATATATATTAAAATATAAAATATTTAAATTTACCTTTTTCAAATGAAATATACATTTAAATTTAATTATATGTAAAAAAAAAACATAATATAATTATAAATTATATTTTTAAATCTTTTTTTTCAAATTATAACTGAAATAATTTATTTCTAAATAAGTATTTGATCCTAGACTTATCTTTTATTCAAAAAATTCAAATTTTATCAAAAAAAAAACATTGATTTTGAATTCACATAATTTATTGAATTTTAAAAAAAAAACATAAAAAATTTTTTTTAATTTTTTTCCAATTTTAAAATAGAAATTGATAAATTTTAAGAATGCTAATGAAATTTTTTAAAAAATTTAAAAAAATTTTGAAAATAATATTTTTTTAACTTGGAAATTATTGCTTATTTATAAATTTAAATTTAAAAAAAAAATAAATCAATTTTTTTGATTAATTTGTATTATGAAAAAAATTAGATTTAAAAAATATCTATTTTAATCTATTTTTTATTTTGATGGTTTACCTTAAAAAAATTAGTTTATATGAACCTAATGTTTTTTACATAAAATTAATTTATTAAATTATTTTAAGAATGATTTAATTCAGCATTGAAGCTTTTGTTTCCATCCAAAATTTTCATTTCTGAATATTGAACAATCATTTAAAATTTATATTTTGATTTTTAAAAATAATTTTTTTAAAATAATATTTCAAATTGTTTGAAAAAAATTGTTAAAAGACATTTAAAAAATGTTTTTGGGAAAATATAAATAAATTTTTTTTTCCAATTTCATTTTTTTTTTTTTAATCAAATTTTTTTTTTTAATTTTTATTTTATTTTGAAAAATTTTATTTAAAAAAAAAAAAAAGAAAATAATTTTCCAAAATTTTCTTCTTTTTTTTTTAAATAAAATTATATAATGTTTAAAATTTTATATGATTAAGATATAAAATTTATCATTATTTAATCACAAAATTTCAAATTCATTTAACTTTAATTATTTTTTCAAATGATTGATGTAATGAATCCACAAAGGCATCCCAAGATTAAAATGTTCATTCATAATGAATTTGTTAAATAACTTATGATATGAAAACTATAATTATTTCAATGTTTTTTAAATGCTTTATTGTTTTTATCAAGATATATTGATCTTTTCAAAATATATATCCCAAAAATTTGATAAATACTTTTCTTTATTTTTTTTTTAATTAAATTGATTGAAAAATCTGATTTTTTTTTGTTTTGACTTTTTAAAAAAACTGAATTGTTAAAATAATGATGTTATTAACCTATATTTCCATATTTTTGCAATGTTTTTGTTTATTTAATTTATTTATCTTATTTGGTTGATATTTTTAAAAAAAAATTTTTTGAAAGTGAAATTGATTTTAAATAATTTTGGCATAATAATATATTATTTTTTACTAAAAAAAAAAAATTAATAAAAATATTTTCATAATTTATTTTAAAATGAAATTTTATGTTTAATTCAAAAAATTTGATTGATTTATTTAAAAATTAAAAAATTTATGTCAAAATCAATTTTTAAATGAAATAATTTTTTTAAAAAAAAATTTTTTTATACATTAAATTTTATAAAATTTTATATATTTTTATTATTATTTGATATTATATGTAACATTATTTATATATTTTTTACAAAATTTTAAAATATATATATATATATATATATATATATATAAATTTTATGAAAATAAAATTTTATTTTTTTAACAATAAAAATATGAAATGAAATCAATTTTAAAAATATAAAAATAAATTTAAAATATTTAAACCCAAATTAAAATTTATTTTTTTATATTATTAAAAGTAACAAATTTTTTTTTTGGCATTTTTAAAAGTCATTTGTTTTTTTTTTTGAATTTTTTTTGATTTTTTTAAATTAACTGATTTCTTCAAATTTTTATTATAAAAATATTTTTCAAAAAAAAAATGAATGTTTTGAAATAAAAAATAAAAAATTCATTTACCTTTGAATAAATTGATTTTTTAATATTTTATAATAATTTATATATATATTTTATATATGCATATATATATATAAAATTTAAATTATTTTCATAGAATTGTTTGTTGATTTTTTAAAGTTTTTAATTTACAGTTTTCAAAAAATTTTTAACATTGATTTTTGTTTTTTCTTTCAAAGATAGTTTATTTTCATTTGAATTTTTTTTTTCATTAAATTTTCCATTTTATAAAA